CACTAAACGCTAACCAGCGGGGAAGTCAAATGTGGCTGAGGTAGTCGGCACCTATGTTTTCGGAGCCCTTATAGTACTCAACCACGAAGTCATACTCAGTAAGCAATAGACTCCAGCGGAGTACTCGGCTGTTGATTTGTTTTGCGGAGTTTATGTAAGCGAGAGGCTGGTGGTCAGTTTGCAGCACGAATCGGTTTCCGAAGAGGTACACATGAAACTTTTGGATAGCCCACACAAGAGCCAGCGCCTCTCTTTCGATTGTTGAGTACCACGACTGCTGTTCGAGCAGTTTACGGTTTGCGTAGGCTACTGGATGCAACATGCTGTCGTGACGCTGCATAAAATGGCTCCAATGCTGGATGAAGATGCATCCGTGCACAATATGAATGGCTCTTGTAAGTCCGGTGATCGCAGTACCGAACCAGACGATAGTAGACGCTGTAGTGTTACAAACGCTTGTTCATGGCATTCTTCGCAGATGACCTTATTAGGACCTCGCTTCCTAGTGAGTTCCGTTAGAGGAGATACTACAGCGGAGCAATTGGGGACGAAATCTCAATAATAACCGATTAGACCTGGAAAGGAGCGAACTTCTTTCTTCGTCTTCGGTCTCTTTGCGGCCTGAATCTTGACCAATGTTTTAATCTGGGGTCGGAGAATATTGTTCACGACGATGTGTCCCAAGAATTTCACTTCGGCGAAAGCCACCTCACTTCTCGATGGCTTTATTGTCAGATGAGCTGCCCTGACACGTTGCAGAAACTTGGTGAGAGTTGTGATGTGCTCGTTCCAAGTTTGTGTGGCTATGAGCACATCGTCAAAATAGTGATAGATGTTCGGTATTCTTCTACCACTCGTCTCATTAGTCGGGTGAACACAGCAGGTGCTGCTTTGATGCCGAAAGGCATGAATCTGAATTGGCAAAGGCCAAAAAAGGACTGAAATGCGGTGAGGGCCTTCGATGCTTCGTGCATCGGCACCTGACAGTACCCTTTTGTGAAGTCAAACTTCGAAAAGTAGCGGCTCTGACCTAGTTTGGCAAACATCATGTCCACTCGTGGTATCAGTTCGTTGTCAGTAGCGACGACTCGACTCAGCTGTCTGAAATCAATGCAAAGTCGGATGTTCCCGTCTTTCTTCTTGACCACGACGATTGGAGCTTGATACTGGGGACTCCGAGGGCTCAATGATACCTTGTGATAGCATGTCCTCTACTTCTTTTCCTACAGTTTCTTGGACGGCGAATGGTATAGGGTACGGGCGTACCTTTACCGGTGTTTCAGTGGTAAGGCGTAACTTGCACTCGACGAGGTCCGTCTTCCCTGGCACGTCAGAAAATACATCATGTAACTCTCTCAGGAGTTCATTAATTTGGTCTGTCTGCGGGCTAGTTCAAGTTAGGTGCTAGTAACACAATTTTATATGTTTCCCTTTGGTGCAGGGCAACAAAGGGAATTTCTCGCTCGTCAACAGTGTCTGACTGCACAGAAACGGCAGCTTGTTGTGCTTCATTTTCAGGCTTCCTTTCGTGGTATTTTCTTGAGAAAGTTAGTGTGAAAAAGACTTCTCCGAGTTCCGAGATCTATCTCGTAGTCATAGTCACTGCGTTTTTCAAGCACTGTGAAGGGTCCCTTCAATGTCAAGATCAATTTATTTTTATCTGATGGTAGCAACAGCAATACTTTGTCGCCAGGTGATAGGTTTCGAACTCTTGCTTTCCTATCGTAATATTTCTTCTGTGTCATTTTCGCCTTCAAGAGTTCTTCGTGCGCTACTTTTCAGGTGTCTTGCAGTCGCTCCTGGAGATCTATAACATACTCGTATGTTGTTTTCGTTTCAGGATCAATGTTGGCCCCTGTCCACAGCTCCTTAAGGATCGACATTGGCCCGCGTACAAATCTGCCGTAGAGGAGATCGAACGGCGCGAATCCAAGGCTCGTTTGGGGAACTTCACGGTGTGCAAAGAGCAGGGGAGCCAAGTATCTGTCCTAATGTTGCGGCACGTCGACTTGGGCGCTCGAGAGTTTGTCCAGCAATCGGAAGCTCGATGACCCGACTTGTTGCAGAGAAAACAAAGCGGTTTTCCTTCGGTTTCGCTGACAGTGCCAACTTTAGCTGTAGCCATCGGTTTCCCTTTTTCGTCTTTTCCTCTAGCGAGATTCACAATTCCCTGGGCTTCCAAATATTGATCAGCCGTCGTTGCCAACGTGTCCAGGTTATGACATCCTCGCTCCTTCAGGAGGACAGCCAACTTCTCGTCGCACCACCTGAGGAATCGCTCGGACACCATCTTGTCTCGCAGTGCATCATATGTTTTGGGAGTCTTCGCCAGCTCCTGCCAATGGTCGAAGTATCCACAGAGACGTCCCGCGAACTGTCGACCTGTCTCAGTATTCTCGGGCCGGGCATCCCTAAACTTCGTGCGGTATCCCTCCTCTGTATAACGGAACCGCTGTAGGAGCGTCTGCTTGAGCTTTGCGTAGTCCGTAGAGTCTTCTGCAGACATCCGTCCTACCACGGTCAAGACTTCTCCCGTTAGACACAAGCTCAGTGACAGGCTCCACTTGTCGGTTGGCCAGCCTTGGCTCGTGGCAACCCTCTCAAATCTCTGGATGCACGCATCCAGTTCGTCCCTACTCTCATTGTAGGGCGGAATCATTTTGTGTGAGCTGCGGAAACTCTGACCACCACCCATACTATCGTCCGCAGAACTCGTGCTCGGACGCTGCGCTTCTGCGACACGACGTCGCTCTTCGAGCAGGAGCCTTTCAGCCTCCATGCGAGCTATTTAACGCTCATGCTCCACCTGTGCTGCTAGACGTGCCTCCTCTTGATCTTTCACTCTCTGGTCCCTCATTTCTTTTTCCTCAGCGCTCACCAATGCCAGCAAAGCCTCTCCACTCAGCCCCATCTCCTTCCCTAGCTCAACTAGCTTTCTCTTGTCGTCCATTCTCGTCCGCCACACACAAACAACGTGAGGCTCTCAGATGTAACGCGAGAGCTTAGTCCTGTCACGGACGCCAGATATTGTGATGGTTAAGGACGTTCGTCACTATGTTTGTTTATAGCGGACGAGAAAAGATCAACATGAACAATTTAAGCCAACAAAAGAAGCTTTATATTGTACACTAGAAAAGGAAGTGACAGGATAAAATAAAACTATATATTCAACCCTACACGCCAAGCATCACGCAACATGCACGAGAGCCAGACCGCCATTAATATGCGCTGAGTTCATGGCTACGCTAACTCAGCGTTCAGCGCGTATAGTTCTCGGTTCGTAAGAAGAAACCGCTGTCTCACAGTTTGGGTCCCGGTCGTCCCGACATGTTGCGGTCGTTGACGTGCGCGAGGGCAAAGGTGGCACGGCTGGAACGGCTGACGGCACACGCATGCGCTACCGTGTGCAGCGCCGTTGAGTCGGACGTCGCAGCCAACCCAGCAGTCAGGGTCGCTAATCCTGAGGTCCAGGATCAGGCCACGGATCACGGGGACCACACCCGGTAGGCCTCGCCCACGAACCTGCTCCCGGCTACTGCACTCAGGCAGGAGCCGTTCAGCAGGCCCCGTCCTTGGACCTTGTACAGGCCGACAGACTCGACCTCGAACAGACACACCGGAGCTCGATCTGGCCGACACGTACGGGTCCCACGTCCGTCTCAGGAACGCTGCCAGGAACTCGTCATCTCGAGTGGCGCACCGCTTCGTCTGCCTTCGCGGCCTCAACCCTCGAGCTCTTTTTTTCGCACGTTCCTTCTTCTTCTTCTCTTCTTCTTCAGTTCTTGTTGTCGCCTTCGTGCCACCTGCCCTCCGCTCGTCTTCTTCAGTTTTGGTTTGACGTTCCTCGGTGTCTTTAAGTCCTTTTTTCACAAATCGTACCTAACACACAGTGCTTTTGTGTTCTTTCCTTACAACGGGAAAGGCTTTGTGCGGTGTTTCATGTGAATTGCAAGTGCCGAAATTCTTCAGATTGTAGGAGAGACGTTTCGTTGATTTTTAATATTAACAGGTGTTTCAATCGTTCACCAGTAATAAAAGTTCACCGTTAATAAATATTAACGGTGGGGCTACTAGCACCACCAGGAATTTTAAAGATGCCGAAGAGAGCGGATCAGCAATTTCATTTAGTACAATTCCAGCATATCCGTGGACCCAAATAAACCGAACTTCTGACAGGCTATGCAGTACGAGAGACCAAAATATCCTGAGAAGAGGAGACTCCTTTGCGGACGTTAGATGTGTACAAATAGACAAAGAATCCGAAATATTAATTGTTGTAGCCGGCGAACAAGGCGACGCTGGACTCAGTTGGTGGCGAAGGTTTAATGTCCTAAGCAAGCGTCTCGCATGCCAATATAAGTACAGGCACATGACGTAGCCTGAACGTCAGTACGGCACGTCATACGTTGGCTACTACATCTCTTCCCCCTTTATTTAGTAGCATAGCCAAAACGTTCGGGAGGCTTTCAAATTCTTGTGCTTCGTCGCAATTCAGGTGGCGCGACGTTTTCTTGGGAGCTGGCGTCAGGCACCTGCTGTGATGGCAGTTCCGTCACGCTGGCTCGGTCGGGTGGCGGAAGTCGTTGCTCTGGTGCAGGACCCGTCCAGCGGCGATGCGGTGTCGCTGTCGCTTTGTGACGGAGTGGAACCCGGCTGTGCCATGCGGGTTTGCTCAGGAATCCACACGCTTCTGGGAAGAGGAGCAAGGCATGTATTAGGAACAATATCGTCCGCATGCAGAAAGCGCTCGTGGTCTTCGATTCGGACTATGTATGTTCCTTTGCTAACTCTTCGCACAACTGTTCCTTCCAACCAGCGTAGATCACTCGGTCGGTTTCCTCGCACACGAACGTTGTCGCCAACCTCAAACTCCCTCATGAAGTATGGTTTTCCTGACCCTGTCTTCGAGCTATATTTGCTTCGGCACGTTTCGCTAGTTCCGGATGCAAGATGCTCAGCCTCGTGCGTGGCCTCCATGAGAGAAACAGTTTGGCTGGTGTCTAACCGGTCGTCGAACACGACGTGTTTCGGTAGGTGAACAGGAACTGGTCTACCCGATGTTGCATCGTCCGAGTCACTCCCGTGTTCTGCTCGTCCCGCAGCTGTTTGATGAAGCTTCGCTTGACGGTCTGGACAAGCCTCTCCGCCGTGGCATTTGAAGCTGGGTGGTATGGTGGTGTCTTCGTGTGCTGCACTGCACTGGAGTTGAGAAAATTTGTGAATTCAGCAGACACAAATTGCGGCCCACTGTCAGTCACAATTCTCTCGGGAAGCCCAAATGCAGCAAAAACAGTGCGGAGTTTTTCAACTGTCGCCTGTGCTGTAGTGGAACTTCATGTGCAGAACATCAACCCACTTGGAGTGCACATCAACAAGCACTAAATACAAGTCGTTCTTGTAGTAGGCAAAATCCAGGTGAGCTCTCTGCCACCTGCGGGCTGGCCATCCCCACGATAACATCGGCACGTGGGGCGCAGAGTTCTGCGTTAGTTGGCAAGTTGAACAACCTCTTACAGTCTCTTCAATGCAGTCGCACAACTTTGGCCACCACACATAGCTTCTTGATAGCATTTTCATGCGAGTGATGCCTGGATGCCCTTCATGCAAAAGCGATAAGACTTCAGATTGTACCGCTTCAGGTATAACAACCCGAGTTCCCCATGTTATGAAACCACAGTCTACCGACAGTTCGCCTTTCCGCGAGAAGAATGGGGCTACGTTGTCTTCTGACACGTACGATGGCCATCCATTCAAAACATACATCAGCACCTTAGACAAAACTGGGTCCTTTTGGGTTTCGTCACTGATCCTTTTCGCAGATAGTGGTACGGCTTCTACTGCTGAAAATAAGTGAACGTAGTCGCTTTCGTCGGTGTTGTTCGGAAGCGGTAATCGCAATAACGCGTCCGCGTTTGCTACTTGGGCTCCCTTTCTGTACACCCATTTGTAGCGATATGCAGCCAGCACTAGCATCCAGCGCTGCATGCGTGCTGCTGCCATTTGCTGAATTGGCTTTGTTTGCCCCAGCAGTCCCTCCAGGGGAAGGTGATATGAATAAATTGTGAATTCACGGCCGTAAAGATACTTGTGAAACCGTTTGATTCCGAAAATCACAGCCAACGCTTCCTTTTCTATGTGTGCGTAGCCACTTTCGGCCTTGCTCAAAGTGCGTGACGCATAAGCTATCGGCCTTTCTTCAGCGTTCACGACATGAAACAACACTGCGCCAACACCGTGAGGAGAGGCATCGCAGACTAATCCAAGAGGCTTCTTTGGGTCATAGAATGCTAGCACGCTCGCTTGCGTAAGGAGGCTCTTACACTCTGCGAAGGCTTTTTCTTCTTTTGCGGACCAGACCCACTTCTTATCCTTCTGAAGCAGTGAATACAAAGGCTTTAGCTTCGAAGACATGTTTGGCATGAACTTGGAGTAAAAAACTATCATGCCGAGGTACGCTTTAAGCTCACTGTTGTTCTTAGGTGTGGGTGCTTCCATTATGGCTTCAACCTTCTCGACGCATGGGTGCACACCATTTTCGTCAATGATATGCCCAAGATATTTGACAGAATTCAAGAAAAACTTGCATTTTTCCTTTCTCACTTTTACGTCGTGGTCCATGAAAACCTGCAGGACTGCTTCCACCCGGGCCAGGCATTCGGTATGCGATGCTCCCATGATGAGGATGTCGTCGAGGTAGCATACACCTCCCGGTAGTCCTTTCAACAGCTCGTTCATGATTGCCTGGAAAACTGCAGGTGCACTTGAGATTCCGTACGGCATTCGAACATACTGGAACAACCCCGTGTGAGAGTTTATAGTCAGCAAAGGTCGTGGGTCAGGGTGCACCTCGATTTGCTGATATGTCGTCGAAAGGTCCAAAACGGTGAAAACCTTGCTCCCAGCCAGTGTCGTGAACAAATCCTCCACCGCGGGCTGTGGGTAATGGTCGGTCTTCACACATGGATTCACTGTCAATTTATAGTCTCCACACAATCGTACTGTGCCGTCTGGCTTGTGAACAGCTACCAGCGGCGTGGCCCAGTCACTGGGGGTTACGGGCACCAGTATGCCCTCTTTTTGCAAGTTGCCTAGCTCATGCTCGACAGGTTCACGAATGGCATACGGCACAGACCGCGCCTTGCAAAAGACTGGCATGCTTCCTTCCTTAAGCACCAGTTTTGCTTGGTAACCCCTTATCAACCCTAAACCAGGTGAAAAAACGCTGGCATACCTTGACAGGATGCTGTTGACAGACGGTTGTGCGTGCACCTCGTGAATGCTATTTAGGTCCATTCCGAGGTTCGCAATACAGCCGCGGCCTAGTAGTGCCGGCTTCTCTCCTGGTACTAAGATGATTGGCAGGACTTTCCGCTGTCCCTTATAATCGACCAAAACCTCCACTTCGCCTTTCACTTGTAGCGTCGCTCCGCCGTGAGTCTTGAGCTTCATCTCGCACTTCGCAAGCTGCGGCGGCTGCTTTAGCTGCCAGTGAACGCATTCCGGAACGAGTGATACGGCTGCGCCCGCATCTACTTGCATCTTCACAAGCTGGCCGGCTATCTGTACTTCAACTTCATATGGTTGTTCCGTGCCCACCAGATACACACTGTGCAGCAGCAGCTCTGTGCCTCCGCTCGCTTCGTTACTCACGCTGTTGACGGTGCCAGGCGCCGGTTGCTTGCATCTGCACATGCACGCCAAATGTCCCACGCGCTTGCAAAGATGGCATTTGAATTTACGATAACGGCAGCAACGGGCGTCATGCTCTTGACCGCATCGATAGTAGCTTTGCATTGAACTGTTCTTCGGCTTGCTGGCAAACTCCCGTTCCTTCCCCGTCTTCTTTAGAGCGTGAATGTCGGCATCTGTATTCGCAGTTGGTCGGAATCCCCTCGACTCCCGCTCCGCTAGCTCAACGCTCTTAGCAAAAACGCAGGCCGATTCGAACGTCAGTTCCTTCCTCTTCAGTAAACCCGTCTGAATGGTGGAATTCCGTAACCCAGCGACGAACCGGTCCCGTAAAGCGTCGTCGAGAAACGTACCGTAGTTGCACTTGGCTGCCATGTGCTTCAGCGTGACTGCAAATGCCGCGACGGACTTCCCTTCTTCTTGGTACCTCCTGTTGAATTTGAAACGCTCCGCAATGACTTGACTTGAAGGCTCGTAGTGGCCACTCAGCACTTTGACCAAGTCCTCGAACGTCTTCTCTTCAGGTTTTGCAGGTAGAAGAAGGTCCTTGAGCGTCTTGCACGCTTTCTTATGGCAGAGATGAAGGCGGACTTTTTAAGTTCTTCGTCTTGTACGCCAGCTACTTTGCAATAGCGCCCAAACCGTTGTACATACGAAGCAAAATCTTCGTCTCCTTCTTCTATAAAGGCGTCAAATTCCCACATCTTCGCCATTCCTTGCCTTTCGCCTTCCAGCTGTCGTTGTTCACAGGATCCGTCCCCGTCGTTCGGTGCAGCCTATCCCATCCTCGTCGCCATCTGTTGTAGCCGGCGAGCAAGGCGACGCTAGACTCAGTTGGTGGTGAAGGTTTAATGTCCTAAGCAAGCGGCTTGCATGCCAATATAAGTACAGGCACATGACGTAGCCTGTGACGTCAGTACGGCACGTCATACGTTGGCTACTACAATAATAGCTTTTGATTGCTGATAATTTAGTTTTCGTAGAGCCAATGTAATAGCCAGGAATTCTGCAGCAGTCAGGCCTGGCACAGAACACATTCCCTACTGTTTTCTCTACCCCACTTGAACGAAAGTCCCGTATTGATATTCTGTAACAATAAGACTGCAGTCGTATTCACACATTTTTTAAGTTACTAAAGCTTCAGACATGACCTCTTTGTCGGGCCACATGACCTGTAGGCTTTCCCATAATCCGAAAAATATGCGAGCAACCACACTCTACGAGAACTGCACAAAATGCAAATTTTAGCTGTATAAAGCTACCAGCATATAAAAGTTTTGCCTGTGCTCTTAAAAAATACTTTTTGCAGAAAAATGAACAGGTACACTAACACAAACCTTGTTGTAATTTCCACTTCGTTATGTATAGATTATATGTATAGAATATATATATGTATAGAATCATACTTGACATGGTATACGTACCTTTATGTATTCGATGTATTGTATACATGCAATCCGTTTGCATGGAACATTGCTGCAAGATACTGCAAATGACTTATCACAAATATGTTTCCTTCTTATATTTTGTTTCGATTTTTTTCTTGTATGATTGAAATGTACCTATAAAATATCTGCTTTGTAAACACAATCTGTTCCTTTAAATGCATATTTATTTAGACCCCCTACTAGCCAGTGGCTATGGGTCTAACCAGTGTTGTGTATTTTGATGTAATAAGAGAACTTGAAATAAAATGAATGAATGAATGAATGAATACATATAATTAGTCACGTTGCTAATCAGCCACTGAGCCAGCTCTACCGCTCGTTAAAATCTTTCACCAGAAGAAAAAAATTTTGCGCAGCCGACAGGATTCGAACATGTGCGGGGAGACCCCAATGAAATACTAGTTTATCGCCTTAACCACTCGGCCACGACTGCACGCTACCAACGGTTACATTTTTTTGAGAAGACTGCTTTTTGAAGGACGCGTGCAACCTCGTTACGGCGGCTGATTTTTTACTTCCTTTGCAATCACTACAAAAGCGGCACTGGGAAGAAAGCCGCGTCTATTTCTCTCAGTTTTGTGGGTTGTAATCGTGGTGGTATTGAACAAATAATCGCTATGATTGAGCATTGTACAACTAAGAGCAAGTGTCATTTTTTGTAAAAAAAAACGCCAAGCATGCTTTCACGTGAAATGTTATAACCTTAAAAAGAGGCAGTTACTCACGTCACTGACACTGTAGTAAATGCAGTATCTGGGGAAGGGCAGTACAGAAACTTACAAGCCCGGTGACACCAAATGCAAGAAGCTGAGAATTCGCGATGTGATATTACAAGACCATGAAAATGGTGATATTCACAGCGTAGCATATTCCCCCAATTTTCGATATACCACGAAAGAAAGAGAGATGTAGACGTATCTATAGACAGATAGTAAATAAATATATCATTTTTCCAAAATGGAACGTATACTTATGTCATCGTCTTTGTCAAAAATTGTTGTTGAAAGATGTCTATATCCGCTAAAAAATTATGACGCCAACTTTATAATTCATTTGTTAATTACACAAGCCCAACTAAACTAAATAAACTAATGCATGCATGATCAATAAATAGTCATTGAACTGCGTAACTACACTGCTCTGTTTTTTGTGTTTCCCGGTTTACACGTGGCATGGAACAAACACAATTCGTGTAACCGAGACAGGTGTGTATTCCGTGATAAAACAACTGCTGTGTATGACGGATCCAAGGTCACAATTGCTACATGGCTTTATGAGCAGACAGCGCAAGTGACAAAGCCAAAGATCGGACATAAAATCTGCATTATCGAACCACCCCAACCGCGCATGCTTTTGTAGCTATTGCGTGTTGATCGTCGTGGAATCAGCAAAGTGGCGCATTCAGCTTCCGGCAGCCGAGCTGAATGGTTCGCAGGGTCGTTTGCTCCAGCGAAGCAGCTACAGCGGCCACCACTATGGGCCACGGAAAGAGGAACAAGAATGACGATTATCAGTTTATTTTTTACTCAGCTGCCTCAAGTAAAACCTTTAACAAGCACCGTGTTTTTGCAAGGGTACGTCAGAGACAGGCCCTACAAGGTCGAGGATTTCCAGGATGCACTTGCGCCGGCAGGCCTGCTGCCTGATGGGGTGAGCCTTGGCGCTTATCAGATCGACCACTTGGGGGCAGTCACCTTCAATGTTGCTGCTCCCATAAAACGCCTAGTTGCGCTGAAAGAGCTTTAGACGAAGGAGCGGCATTGCGTCGTCGTTGACCCGCAGGATCAGCAGGTGAAGCTGAGGCTGCACTGGCTGCTCCACAGTGTAAGTGTGGAAGACGAAAGAACGGCTTTTGTCAACTTCGAAAAAGTCGTGGAAGGGAGCCGTGAGAGTTGGTGCGCCCCCGGTATGGCCGACAAGTGTTCCATGACAAGGGCGGTTCTGCTTAAGCTCAAGAGTGGCTACAAGGTTGAGGACCTCCCTCAACGAATCCGTGTCGACGGAGAGTTGGCCTTGGTCGTGGCGCCTAGCCGTTCAATGCTGTGCCTGCGTTACTAAGGTACTAGCCACGTCCGTCGCGAGTGCATGGTCCCCCGCTTCTCCCACTGTAGACGCTTCGGGCACGTCGAGGCTGATTGCGTATTAACGTATGCCTCGGCAACTGGAAGAGCAAGAAATGAATGTTTGGCCGAGCGATTCATGGACGTGGACGAGACGGAGAAAGCCGCTGAAGGAACCGACAATCCAGTGGTTTTTGCGAAAACCGGGCATTCGGCGTCGGGTGATGAAAGTAAGGAGGCCGAGACTCCATGGCACTGGACGGCACCTGCCATCACAACGTCAGTGGACGAGCCTGAACGTACGTTGAAGGAAGGGGCACCCGAGGACAAGGTCGACGTAACAGAGGTCTAGGGAGAGACGTCATACAGCGAGGAAACGAGTGTCATCTATGCCACGCTAAGGCGTGTGCGCGACAAGATAAGTGAAAGTGGCAAGACGTCGAAGGTCAACAGCGAGGAGCCCCCTGCAAAGACTCCTTAAGGAAGGCGGTGGCGTTTGAAGCTCAAACCGAACATTCATATGGACTAGACTTCCGGACCAGGCGAATGAAAAGAACGCTGGAAAGCAGGATGGTCCTGGAGGCGGCTAGCCGATGGCTGGTTGTCAAAGGTAAGCATCATCTTCCTGGCCTGCTTCTTCAGCGTATAAGTCACCATGACACCGACTTAGCATAGCTACGCTTAACGTCAGAGGGTTGGCGGCTAGGCGTAGGCAAAGTCAGCTCTTACGGTTGGTCACTGACCGAGACGTAGACGAACTAGCCATCCAGGAAACTAAGTTTGTCGAAGAGGAAGAGACTGGGGGCATGGTGCCCCGTTTCACTTGAAGGTACTATGCAGTCGTTAGCCATGCCATAGGAACTTCCGCGGGGTGTGTCGTTTTTGTGAACAAATATGAGGACCCCGTTGCCGAAAGAATATTTTCATGTAAGTCAGGAAGAGTTCTTTATTGTGAATATGTAGTTGGCCACATAGAATTCCGTATAGTATGCATATACGCGCCAACTTGTGTATAAGAGCGTGTCCATTTTTCAGGGGCGAAGCTCCTTAGGGCGTGGGCTGTGCGTCCCCTGTAGCCTGTATGTAGCCACCTCTAGTTTAGTTCTTGCAGTGTTCACTAGATGGCGGTACCATCCCCTGTATGTACCATCCGCTAGATGGCGGTACCATCCCCTGAAGTTTTCTAACACGTGGGCATCGGTAAACTGAGCTAGCCATGGTCAAAAAGACCGTAAAGTGTTCAGAGTGCGGGATAGGGTTGAAGGTGGAAATTAGTGCGGAAGAGAAAGCAGAAGATGACGCCAAGTGTAGACAGTGCGAGATCGAGGAGAAAATGAAAAATATGATGGCGGTCCAGAGTGGGCTCATGGAGAAAATCGCAGAGCTGGAGAATGCATTGGCGAAGGAGCGAGAGAAAACGTCAGCCATGGAGGAAAGGCTCCGGGCAGCCGAGAAGGGCCTATCGAAGGTCGTGAAGGGGAACGAAGACGCAGGTGACGGCGGAAGCATTATGGCGACGACCCACCGTGCGGGAGAGATGAGGGAAACAGGCATGACAAAGGCAGATACATTGGCCACAGGGCCCAGCTACCGGGAAGTAGTTTTGAGGGAGGGAGGGAGCAAACCAGCAGCCGTGACTCACGCTAGTCACCTAGTCAGCAGCCAGGTGCAGGTTTCAGAAGGAATGTCTGAACAGGTCATCATCGCCGGTGACTCAAATTTAGTCCGATGCGCAGCGGCAATCAAAGAAAGGGTGAAAGGCGACAAGAGAGTTGCGATAGGGACGTTCCCAGGACAAACGCTGGGGACAGTAATGAGTCAAGCGGGTGAACAACTCGCAGCTAAAGCTAACAATCGCAACCTCGTTGTAATTGCGGGAGGGTTAAATGACGTCCTAAAAAAAGAATCGTCAGGACTAGCGACGACCTTGGCGAAAGGGGTGGATGACATGCGCACCGTGTCCCCCCAGGTGCAAATTGTAGTATGCACAGTACCGGAAGTACCAGTACGCAACATCAACCTGCAAAGAGCGGTAGTCGACGCAAACAAAGAGATATGGCAAATTAGTCGAGAGAAGGGTTTCGAGGTAGTGGATTTAAACAGGGAAGTGCACAGGTGGGGTGGATTCCAAAGAGACAAGATTCATTTCGATAAGAGGCTTGGACACGAGGTGGGCTGGTGACTGGCAGGACGCGCAGTAGCTTTTTTGGGGGGCTCACGGGCCCTTCGGAGTCCGGGGTAGCTCGTAACAGGGAAAACAAACAGGAGGACGCTTTGACAGGTAGAATTGCGAAAAACCAGAAAAAAGGTAAAAGAAAAAGGAAAAAGGCGCGTGTTGCAATTAGTTACATAAACATGCAGGGTGGCAGAAAGAAGGCAAAATGGTTAGAGATTGAGGAGCAGTTAAACAAAGAACAGATAGGCGTGTATGCGGTTACAGAAACACACCTTAGAGACTTGGAAGAGCCACCACATATTAAAAATTATGTTTGGGAAGGGTGTAACAGGACCATATCGGAAAGGAAAGGTGGGGGTGTAGGAATGCTAATTCACCGCGGAGCCAAATGGGTTAGAGTGAAACAGACGTGTTCAGAGCACCTCTGGGTTCTGGGCACAGTAGGTGGAAAGGAAACGTGGCTAGGGGTAGCCTACTTGTGGACGGGGAATAACTGCAGAGAAAAGAATCAGGAGATAGTGGATTGCATGAGTGCGGATATTAAGGAATTTGGTAATGGGGCCGAAATCATCCTTCTAGGGGACATGAATGCCCACATACATGACCTTGACGGATATTCAGACACCAATGGGAAGTTATTACTAGATCTTTGCGAGCAACATAGTCTGGAGATAGTTAACACAGGGCCTAAATGTGACGGCCAGATCACATGGGAAGTCGGAAACAAGCAATCAAGTATTGATTATTGTCTCATGACTGAAGGAATTTACCACAAACTGACAGAAATGAGGATAGACGAGGAAGGCATTAACAGCTTGGGTAGTGATCATAAACGAATAACATTACAAATGGGATACGAAACTAAAAATACGAGCATGGAATCAAAGTCTGGCAGCTCGTATTTAAATGACAAACAAATAATAAATATAGCCGCAAGAGTCGAGAAAGAAGTAGGCGAAATACCAGGCAAGGACTGGGAGTATAGGGAGCTGTTACATCTAATGACGAAGGAGATAGGGAAAGAGAAGAAAACCGTTTGCTGGAAAGGAAAAAGGAAGCCAAAAAGTTGGTGGAACAAGGAAATCCGGGAGGCGATCGAGAAGCGACGCGAAGCATCACGGGAGCATAGAAAGGCAAAAAAGGAGAAGCGGCCGCAGGACGAAGTCAAAAAATATGGGAAATATATTTGGAGAAAAAATCCCTTGTACAGAAATTGGTAGAGGCAAAAATTAAAGGTGAAAGTGAACGCTGGATGACAGAGATACACGAAAAAAAGGAGGCCGCGCCTAGGATTTTTTGGAGCCACATAAAGGCGCTAGGTAGGAAGTCTGTCACAACGCAACAACATATTCTAGATGAAGGAGGAAATCAATTGGAAGGGTACGAAGCGCTAGGTTACATCCAAAAGGTAACAGCCGATTCGTTTCAAAAGAGCGTCCAGGGGATCTCCCCAGTGAGTAAAGGTGTGGCGGAGAAAGCAACAGAGGAAGAGCTAGTACTAGATAATTTCAACTGGAAAAAGGCCGAAGGAAAAATTCCAAAGCGCACTGCCGCGGGTTTAGATGGGATTCCCGTTAGCCTCATTAACGAACTAGGACATAACACTAAAGAAGCATTGTTAAAAGCAGTAGAAAAAAGCTTAAAGGACGGACAAATACCGGACAGTTGGCGACAAAGTAGAATGAACTTAATCTATAAAGGCAAGGGAGAAAAGGACAAGATTCGCTCGTATAGACCACTAACCATTACATCGGTACTATACAGGTTGGCGATGCAAGCAGTAAAAATGAAAATAGAAACATGGGCCGAACATAACGATATTTTGGGAGAACTTCAGAACGGATTTCGAGTCGACAGGCGGTTAGACGATAACCTGTTTGTTCTCACTCAGTGTATAGAAATATCTAAAATAGAGAATAGGCCCTTGTACGTGGCTTTTCTAGACATCACTGGGGCATACGACAACGTTAATCAGGAAGTTTTGTGGGATATATTGAAAGGAATGGGCATGGGCGACGACTGTATACAGCTTTTGAGGGAGATATACCGAGAAAATACAGTTTGCATAGAGTGGGAAGGAATGCGTAGCAAAGAGAACGTTGCGGTTAGCAGGGGTCTGAGACAGGGATGTCCTTTGTCCCCACTGTTATTCATGCTGTACATGGTGAGTATGGAAAAAGCGCTAGAAGGTAGCAACATTGGTTTTAATCTGTCACACAAACAGGGCGGCATGATGATTGAGCAGAAGCTTCCAGGTTATTTTATGCGGACGATATCGTCTTATTTGCGGACAGTCGAGATGATATACAGCAGCTGGCGAATATATGCGGAAGGGAAGGTGAAGCTCTTGGACTAGGATTCAGTGTAACGAAGTGTGGTTTGATGGTATTCAATGATCCCTGTGATCAGACGGTGTCCATACAAGGCCAAGAAATACCGAGGGTAAGTGAATACAAGTACCTTGGAGTATGGGTAAATGAGAGTGA